ACAAAGTATGTTTGTCAGTTACTTCCTCCCTTTCAGTGCTTGGTAGTTAAATAATGAAGAAATACTTCTGGTTGGTAAATAGCAATTCCAGTGCCAAATATTAGTACAAGGTATCGGAGCAGCTGTGACTGTGGTAAGAGTCCACATGAGTCAGAACAAATATCCTCTATTATTACAGAACAAATAAATTATATTATGTATTAATGCAGAAATGCATGCTGCCAACAAAAAAAAAAAGGACCAAAAAAAAAAAATTATCACTGAACTCTCACGCTAATTCACACCAACCGTAGCCACAAGCACTGCAGAATAGCTGGTGCTGTGGTGCTGCAGAGCAGCTAACATTTCACACAGAGTAAGAGTGCCTTCCAGGAAGACATTAGCAGTTACTGGTATTTTGCAATATAGCAGACATCCAAATTGAATCACCCCATCAGCTCTGCATCCACATGGACTGAAATGGGTGTATGGGTATGGAACAATCTGCCCCAAGCGGTGATACAGTCGGTGGTTCCCTGACATTCTTCAGATGGAATTTGCAGAAACCACTTCCACCAGCACTGCGCTCAGCTGGCTGAGAACTACTGACATGAAACAGCCGCATTCACATTAGGTTTGTCACATGTCTCCAGTTTACCTTTTCAACCAAAACATAGTATCCTTTAATTTTTTCTCTTTATGAAATATTTGTCTGCTTTTAAAGAAAAGATCAGTTCAGTTTAATGAAGGTTTGTCTGGTTGTGTTTCAACTCAACAGACAATTTAGTCTGCCAAGTTCCAAATTATAACCAGGTTCTGCCATAACTGAATTAACAAGCTGTTTGACCACACACCAGCAGGGTCTAACAATGCTCAGGAATATTTATTTCTCTGCCAACTTTATGATAAAAATCAGTAAAAGGATTTGCCCTATTGACCATGAAATATCTTTAAGAGTTTTTCCCTTTGTGAAAACATATGCAGACAAATTTGAATCTTGTGCTGTTTGAATGCTGTAATTACAGAAAACTCATAGTTATAAATGCCAGAATTTGCAATGAAAACTCCAGCCAGGAAAATATTTTCCAATGGGATTTTCATGAAGCTCTTCTTGTCAAGCAACAGAATTTACTGTTGTTGTTTTATAAAACAAGAACTTAAAAAAAAAAAAAAATCATATCCCTTTAAGGTTACTATTCTTAAAGGATATATGTAGATGTGGGGTTTTTTTTGGCTTTGGGGTTTTTAAAATTTTTTTTTTCAGTTAGGCTATGTGCACAACAGACTTTAAAAACAGTCCAAAACGTACAGAGCCTCAGAAGAGAAGAGGCAAAGGATGGTTCTGGAATTGAAAGGCAGCAATTTAAAGAATCTTGTTTGAAAAACTGTAACAACCACCATAAAAACTAGACTATGGTTTCTCATCCTTGGCCTTTGTATACATTCCAGTCAGTGACTTGGAAGAGTCCAGATCTCCCAGTTTAGGCTGGCATCACAGCCACTTCTACATGAGGACATGGGTCGTTCACAACACACAACAAAATGATATCATAGGCATTTAAGGTACACATGGGCCTTTTATACCAACTAGCCTTCAGGACTACATATTTCTGAAGCAAATAAAATTAAAGGATCATAGCTTTAAAATGCCATTTCTACAAATAATTCAGAGCATGCACTTCAGAAGACTGAGACTTCCCTTACTGTTAAGTTGAGCAAACATTAGTTCAATTTATATTTATGCCCTATGTGAAGCTGGGAAGGTTTCAAAAATTTAATTGCAAGATAAAATTCCAAAAACAAATGAAAATAATTTTGTATTCAGATGTATTAAAAATATCTAACAACATAATATATATACTTTATGGTCCTTATGCTTTATTAGATTTTCCAAAAATCCAATTCAATTAACAACATTAGCACTAGCAATTAGCATGCTGCCAGAAACGTCAAGATTTGTATCCAAGTATCTCTGCATGACATCATTATGGCTGTTCGTGTACTTCAAAAACAAGATTAAAAGCATGATTGAAGAGGTTGTTAATGTTTTACATGAAGGTTCTTTTCTTTTAGTTCATCTGGTTGTACAAAAGCTCATTTTGTTGATCCATCACTTTTCTGATTAGTCTGATGAATGAAGCACTGACGTCTGCATACTTCTGTGGTATAACACGATTACATTAATTTAACAATTAATCAAAGACAATGACATACTTGGGAAGATATCATTCAGTTTTGCTTATCAGTTTGCTTAGCAAGAGCAAATTCTCAGGATCCTGAAAATGAAATATTGCAACATAAAATGATAGAAATGTCTTGTTTTGATTTAGTATAATTTGACTGCCTAAACACACTTTAATTTATTTCCAGATGGCATAAAAGCTATAAATGATGTCTTCTTTTCACTGGCAGTTTAAATAAACTGAAGGCCAAAATCAGTTTTAACTTTATTTTCTTTTTAATTAGTTAGGATTTTTTTTCAAGGCTTATACCAAAAGCTGTAACTTTTTTTATTTCCAGATACTATGCAGCATTGGTCTATATCATATAGTTGCTTTTGCCTTTTAATTAATTTTAATTCACATTAAAAGCTATCACCCCTATAAAATAAAAAACACTTCATGAAAATAATCTTATCACCTTACCATAAAAACTAAGGGTTAATAAGTTTACAATCTTTTAATACTTTCACTATATAAAATAAAAAATATGTAAAAAGTCCTTTTAGGGTATGTAAGAAAGATTATTAGATAAATAGTTATATGGTATGAAAATTAATTCATTATTTTTAAAATGCAAGTACTCATAACCAAGTAATATCTATCTTAGAACTTGCTCCCATTGACTTTAACATTGCAAGGTTAAGATCTAGAAATAAAAAATGCATGACTATTATATTACTATAAAGTATTCAGATTTAAATGTGAGTTTCTCCTAACCATACAGCTTTAAAACAACAATATTAATATTCTATTTGGGCTTAACAGATATCCAAAGGAGAAACAGCATTTGTCCTCTTGCAACTGAGGAACACTTCTGCTGCAGACCTTCAGCTAGAAATCTCAAATGAAAAAGACATTTTAAAACAAAACCCCAGTACAGTGTCCCAACTGTTTTCACTCTAGTTAGAATATTTCTTATTAGAGAAAAGCAAAGGTTGCATAAATGTCAGCCAACTTCTCACTTTTTTTTTGGCCATTTTGTGTAAAATTTGCGAGGTCCAGGTATCATCTACTTAAATGCATGCAGATCCACAAGAAAAATACAAGTGTATGCACTTTGTGAGAACTCAGCACACACTGTAGTGAAAAAAAAAGCAGGAGCCCAACTCTACTCATATAAGACTCCTGGATATTCTCAAGAGCTGCAGGATTTTACCTGTCCACTTTCTCCTACTCCAATTACAGTAGTCAAGTCTGATACACCTCTTTCACATCCATTGCTCTCACTCTCTTGGGCTTATAGAATGCTTGGAATCCTTCTTCTCATGTTAAAAGACAAAGCCCAACTCTGCAAAGGGCCTACCAGCTAGACTTCTTAGAAGCTGTCGTGGTTTAAACCTGGCCGGCAGCCAAACACCACGCAGCCGCTCGCTTACCCTCCCCTGCCCCAGGGGATGGGGGAGAGAATTGGAGGGCTAAGGGTAAGGAGACTTGTCAATTGAGATAAAAACAATTCAATAATTTAAATGCAATAAAAATTGAAGTAATAATAACAGTAACAATAGAATACACAAATGAGTGATGCACAATCGATTGCTCACCACCTGCAGACCAATGGCCTGCCCACTCCTGGCTAGCGATTCCAAAGGGGGGGAAAAAAATCCCAAAACTGCAATCCTAGAAGAGAGTGAGCCCCAAGTCCCTGGCTCACCTTCATCTATATACTGAGCATAACATTATATGACATGGAATATTTCATTTGCCAATTTGGGTCCATTGCTCTGGCTGTGCTCCCTCTCAGCTTCTCGTGCACCTGCACACTAGCAGGACATGGGAAGTTAAAAAGTCCTTGATTTCTTAGCAACAACTAAAAACATCAGTGTATTATCAACATTCTTCTCATACCAAATCCCATACCGAATCCCAAACACAGCACCGTTCTAGCTACTAAGAAGGAAAACTAGCTCTATCCTAGCCGAAACTGGGACAGAAGCATACTGGTACATGGTACTCCTTGATCTCAGTGTTGCTAATGGTCTAAATATTTTTAAACACTAAACCTTCAAAATTTGTGCAAGTTGGATGGCTTTTTGGTTTTGGGGTGGGGATTTTTTGTTTTGGGGTTTGTTTTTTTTTTTTGTTTGTTTGTTGGTGTCCTCAAACTCATTGACTTCTAAATGAAGTAAAAGGCATTTGGCTCCCTTGACAGCCAAAGCCTCATCATAGTTAAACTGTACATAGAGCCTTGTGCAGGAGAGGATATTGCTTTTCAGCTGCTGTTGGCTCAGTTATGTAGCCTCCAAACAAAGGAAAAAGCTGGGTACTTGGAATTTATTTTTAAACTTGCTCATAAACAAATGCAACTGCAAAATTCCACAGCCACATAAGAGAAGGCAAAGCTTCTGAATACCCTCAGAACTAGCTTTCAGCCACAAATGCTGTTACTTTACACACACAGTCAACGGTGGGGATAAAGCTAAATCCAGGTTAGATTATTCAGCTACTGCACAGCCAAGAGTCAAAAGGGTAGCATAAGGGTTTGTATCAGAGCACTTACATGTTCCTATAATTATTAGTACTTAAGAGTTTGAATTATTCTTCCCTTCAGCAACCCCTCCACTAAATAAAGTGGATTTTTGCAAATGAGACACTGCTTGTCTTTCAGCCACAGCATAATGCAGTCTAGGCAATAAATTCTTTCCTACTGCGTGCTTTGCAATTACAATTCCTCACCAATATCATAACTCAACAAGGTAATAAAAAATAATCAGTATTTATCTAGTGCCTGTGGATTAAAACTTTTCTTACACTGTTGAAGTGAAGCAGAAGTTAGCTGGTTTTAGAGGTTATGAAACATACCCAGACAAGGAGCAACAGATTTCTTTTCACTGTTCCACAGTAGCCCAGCATTCCAACTATGATGAGGAAACAGCAGACTGCAATCATGACTGGGTGGACCACAGGGAAGTAAGTCAAAATGACAGCCTCCTCCACCCTAAAACCAATCAGAACCATAATGAAAAAAAAGCATAATCACACAAAAATGATGCAGAAAAAAATGTAATATAGCCATTAAAACAAAAATGGTGGATTAGTAGATGAGTTCTTTCCAGTGCCTTATATGTTTCACAGAAATCTCTTCTACATGTTTTTAAAGTCAAATGCTGCATTCAGGCACCAGAAAGTAACGCATCATCTGAAATATCTTTGGAGCGAAGGCGATCTTCCTGTCCTGTGTAGTATGTAGCACAATGAGGCCCTGTTCCATCACTACGGCTCATAAGCACTGCTGTAATAAAACTAACAGCATTCCTAAATCTCTGGACTGAATAAAGTATTCAAAACTAAACAGTAATATAATAGTTACACACTGGCCAAGGGCCAAAAATTGATCCTTGTCAGAAGAGAAAGGCACAGGAATAAAACAAGATCGAATTCGTATCTTTCCCCCTTCTCTAATTTCAACTGATGTCAGAAATAGTGGCAAAAATACACCTTTCAACAAAACAATAATTAGCTCAACTGAAAGCTCCTTAATTCTAGAAATGCTAATTAGGAAACTTGCCATACAGAATGAACGACATACACCACAATCAATCACCCACACAGATTAATAGGTTTAAGGAAAGCTTTACCTTGTTTCTGCGGTTAAAGTGAGAACATTATTCAGGTAGTCTCTCATCCAAGCAGAAACACCTAATATGCTGATGGACATCAACTAAAAAGAAGAGATGAAATTATTTATCAAGCATTTAAAAAAGAAAAAATTGCAAGATCATTCATAATTTGAGGATCAGTAATCAGTAAAATCTTTCAACCATTCATTTATCCAAACAGCATACTGACCCCAAAACTGTACTTCTATATGATTAAAGTTGGTTTGTTGCCCAAGATTTTATGGAGCCAGTGACAACAATCTTCTCTTCCAGTATGCATAATTAATGCCTGGAATACCTTCTCTTTCACACAGTGATGCCACTGATGGCTCAAGTCCCACCACTGCACAACATACCACAGAAACAACAGGGAGGGTTTATGCTGCTAAAATCGGTGACCCTTTCAGGGCTCATACATGATATCCACCTGTCTGTAAGAAACTCAGGTACACAGCCAGTGAAGAATAATTTGAAGCCCCATACAGGATACAATGGTACTGATACACAAACATGAAAGAGAGGAGATTTATCTTGGGGTTAAATTTGGAAGAATTTGATTCCCTCCCTCATTCAGACAGTCACCACTTCAGACGACCCAGATTTTTATCACCTGATGCCATCATGCACTCCAGCACACCTGGGATCTACCAGCAGAAGCTGTGGCCTCTGATTTTCTTGAGAAGCCAAATCTGAACAACATGGTCAGAACATACCTGTCGCACCGTGACAGCACCAGGTCTTCTGCTGCTCTATCAGAGGTACTGCTAGAGGACAAAACACTCTTCACAGCACTTGCCCATGTATTTTGCACTGGACTAGGTCAATCAGCATGTCCTTCCTCCTGGAGGAGGGCTCATGTAACAGCACAGCAGTCATTCATTCCCCACCTTTGTGCATGCTCTCTGGCCTCAAGAGCACCACATCATCTCCTGCATGCACGGGGACAGAGGGAGCACTGCTCCCCGAACAGAAGGTGAGAGATGCAGCTATAAACTCCTTCGAGGGGAGGCTGGAACCACTAAGATTTTCTACAAAATGGAGCAAAGTTAAAATTACTAATGACACTGCTTGCTTCTCAAATCGTGTCAGGGAATTCAGCAAGTTTATTACTCCCAAAGGAGAATTTCAGAGTATCAATATTACATAGGCACGTAAGCCTGAACCACAGCTCAGGGGCTGAACCTGGCAGACTCAGGACTTCAGAAGCACCACTGTCTGGTTGAGGGAGGGAGACTTAAGCACACTGGCTCTCCTGAATACTCTTGTTTTCATGCATTGTATAGGTGTATGCCAGGAAGCCTCAGCATTATACTAACAGCTTCTTAAATCCATGAGATATGATAATCTCCCACTGCCTTCAACAGCTAGCTGCCCACACGCCCTCGTATTTCCCCAAAGTTGGTATGAAGACCAAGTTAACTGGTTCAAACCTAACACAAGAAAAGCCACTCTCTGTGTTCTTACCGGCTCCTCTGCCTCCAGCACACCCCCAGCAGGCTACTACTACATTCAAAATTTCATGAGAAGTCCCAGTGGCTACCCCATGGCTTCCTCCCGCTTTTCAAAACTGATGCACAAAATACAGCCACTGCCTTGGTTCTAGGTGGTGCCAGTGAGAGCCCTGGGTGTTTGGCATGCTGCAAGCATAGTCCTGAAAGCTAGTGCATGCTACAAGTGTACTATGTATGCACAGGTACTTTATGCTCTGTGGGATCTATTTTGGCTGGCAGAACAGTAGGAGTAGAGAGCGTTTTCTGTCATGTTATTTGCAGGAAGCTGCAGGAGCAAGGAGAAGATGGTGACTAGAATCTCCTAGATACTCAACAACAGCTATCTCCTTGGAAGAAAGCATCACGCAAATATGCCACACAAGTAGTAAAAAACATGTTTCTAACACAAAGAGAGGTAAAGAAGACTGCAAGAAGAAAGCCTACCCTCTTATGGTTGAAAAGCAACAGGAAACAGTTTTAACCCTTTGCATCTCCCTGCAAGGCCTGCTGATGCACACAGAGGAAGTGTTAGCTTGCACTTCTACTCTGTTTATAGTAAAATACTTAAGATAAATTTGGTTACTTTGCTTCAGCAACTTTTAATAAGAGCCAGATGGTCCTGATGCAAAAACTGTACCAGAAAAATATTCACTTGCTAAATAATATTCTTCCTCCCATACCAGACTGGTGGACTGCCTAGTCCCCGCTCTCCATTAGGAACTCGCAGGCTGCACTCATTTTCCTTCAGCATGCAGTGATACATTACCGTACAGCAATGAGAAGAGGTGGCATTCCTTGGAAGAAGGCAAGAGATCACTTCTTCAATGAAGATAAGATTTGGCAGGCAAAAGAGTCACCACAAGGACTGGAGCCTGCAAGTTATTCAGAGACAACAGAGAGATCACAGAGCAACCAACTAAAAGGCAGAAGAGACAGAAAGTACCTTGTAGAAACCAAAAGATATGAGCAGAGTCCTGTCACTGAGAGAATCATTCAGTTTGCTAGAAGACCTGCCTACAAAGGCAAATCAAGAAGGAAGAGTTTTATTTCTGCTCTGCCTAAGTTGAGTTTTCCCTACCTAGATATGTATTTTTGCCCACATAAAATCAGTGAGGAGAAAGTCTAGGCAGGTACATCTCCAAGCTGTAACCAACACATGGCCATATGGCTGGTATAGAAATGCTTGATGACCATATCATAGAACATGAGTCCGTTTTCACTTATCATGAACAATAACTGGAAGAAAAGGACTGCTTCCCTTCACCCAGGAAACATAACCTTCACCAGTAATGTAACTACATGAACACTATTTCAGTTCATAAGAACAAGCTTTCTATGACAGGTGTCTTACTTCATTCAAAAAGATTTTAGCTATTTACATTCCTCTGGCTGTTCTCCTTCAGTGTAAACAGCTAACAGCCAATTACTCCTGTTTCTTGCTGGACATAAATTACATTCAAGAAAATTCCCTCTGCAACCCCTGTGAGAGCCAGGTTACAGCTCATCCACTCACCTACCCTGTGTCCTGAATGATCTCACCACCATAACTCCTTCAGGTGTTACTGACTTCTGCTACGCTTATAATGCACATATGATGTCAACACAAAAGCCAGCCCAGCATTACTCTAAAAACGTACATGCCTTACCTCGCTGCTACACAGGTGTTACAGACAGATTACCTTTGCAACACCCTCCTGCCAGCCAGACAAATTCCTTAGGAGGCACCTTTGGCACCTTATTTTGAAGAAAGTCCAAAGTGAATTATTACTCTGAATGATCTGAAAGCCAGAGTGCTACAACACAGTGGATTCACATCCAAGAAAGTCAGTAACACTGTCAAACTGGGGCAGCATAAAGACATGGCTCTGAAAGAAAATAGGTAAATACTCGAGAAATTCCTCTTGAACAGAGAGGCCCATGCAAGAGCAAACCGTGATAACTCATAAAAGCAATTCAACAGGTTGATTACAAAAGGTGTATTTTACGGCACGTAACCCAGCAAATGCTTGGCAACTCTTTTCTAGCAAAGGGAAGTGATGGGAAAAAAAGTTGTATCCTTTCTGATCAGCAGAAGTGAGCCTCTTGACAGAAAGAGCCTTCAAGATGAAAGTTGCGTTTGCAACACCAGACTGCTCTGTGTAATAATGACTAATGTTTAGTTCAGTAACAAAAGACTATCAAGCACTAATGCGCACCCATCAGCCGACCTGCTCACCTGCTCCACAGCCACAAGGGAATCACAAGAACAACACAACGCACCCGCCTGACTTCCACAGCCTTCTGCTTATGACTCAACATATGTCTGTGCTGCCCTGTAAAAGCGCTAAGCATCCTCAAGTGCCAGCTGCCATCAAGGAGGCTCCAGGCACCCACCACTTCACACCACCTACAGCAGAGGCAGATCTTCAGCCAGCTGCACAGGAATTACACTAACACCGACAGTACAACTCAGCCCATGCACTCGGGAGGCAAGAACAGTAGTAACAACCTTCCCCAAAACCTTGGTATGCATCCAAACCCGGCAGCAAAGAACAGCAGTCACATTGCTGCAGTTCACTGCCACGTGACTTTCAAGGAGTCATGGGCAGGGGCAAGGTCCTGATTACAGTTTCTGTTGGTACATTTGGAGGATGGAAAAAAGGCAGCCTTAAATAACTGGCAGCCCCTACTTCAGACGTAAAATGCAGTTAGAAATCTATCAAGCAATCAGATGAAAGGACACAAGTTTATGAGAAATAAAACTACCACAATAGCAGTTACATCATTTCATCAAAAAGTTTTCATCCAAGCTTCCCTGATGACAGCCAGTCTGCTGTGCTGTAAACATAATATGACAGTAGGCAGTAAAAGATGTTTATTTGTTGCAGCTGGTTGCACAAGTCACAGTGGGTTTCATTCTGAACTGTCTCAGTATGTTATATAGCCATCAACAGGACACTGAAGAGTTTACAAAACTGCCTGCTGTCATACTGCATTTTAAATATATTTTCAAACTAATTAAACAAAGGTAATAAATTATATTTTTATATATGAGCAACATGCAGATCACACAATAATACAGTAAATTTCCAAACTAATTTATAACATAAAGTTCTTAAAGCTACTAGAGCTTTCTCAGACAACTGAACTACAATTTCCAACAATGGACTCAAACTATTAGCAGTGGTCATTTCCAAGCATAGTTTAAATTGTATTTAGAACTCTTTTACATAAATTATGCATCCAAATGAAAACATCAAATCATCTTTTATTCATTAAATATATATTTTAAGCCCTTATTGTGACAGTCCTACTCACAATGCCTTTGAGGACATACCTAAATGGAAAACAAATCTGCATTTTCAATTAATGAATGAACATGGATTTCTGTCTTTGAGGGAGCAAGACCAGTCGCTCTTGTTATTTGCACACCTGGTTTCATTCTTTCATCATAACTTTTCTTTTTTTCATTCAGACATTTTTACACCTTAATTTTTGACAATGAAAAGTGCTGTGCTCAAATTTGAGAGAAGGGGTTTCTTTCATTATTAAATAAGAGAAAAGATTAATAGTATCTTCCATATTAAGAATCA